GGCTCTTGCTTCCCTTCAGCTTCACGATCTTTGTCTTCTCTTCAGTGCAGGCTCCAAAGACACCATTGTCTTTGGAGTGGGTGGCCATCCTCAAAGACATAATTTTACCTCTCAGTTCACTACTGGGTGGTCTCTCTCAACCAAATCTCATTCTGCGTTAGCTCAGTCTCTGGGAACCATTTCTTTCCCGAAGCTCACAGGCACTGAAAATTGCAAGGTATCCTTCTCCAGAGAGCCAGAACACACAGACGTACTCCAGCTACCCAGAGTCAGATCAGATGGACTCCAGGGTGTGTGGGTCTAATCCACAGTTAGGCTAAATCAATGTCTTACAGCAGCAATCAGTCTCCAACTTTCAACAAAATGGCCATTAATCTTTAAACTAAGCCCATTTAGAGGTTCGCTCTTTCTTCCTTCCTTATGTGGTATTCAAAACTAGCTTCTCACTGCTGCTCTACCTGATTTGCCCCTAGTTGGAATAAGACTTTCTCTCTCTAGAGCTCCTGGTTTTTAATTTCTGTGCCACTCATCAACACCTTTTTACTATTTGTAGCTAAAGGAAAATTTGTGTTTTATTTGTTATTCCTGGAGCTATGGGAAAAGAATACAAGAATAGAAACCTGAAATAGGTGCAGTCCCAGTCTTCCAGGAGCTTATATTCTAGTAGGGGGCAGAGGCCAGGAGCACAGAGCGCAAAACCAAAAAAAAAAAAAAAAAAAAAAAAACTCAAGCTGAGAAAAGCTATTTTTCCCTGGGAACAGGAAAGTGTTACTGTCACCCACAGTAGGAGAAGTCTCCCAGAGGCAATCCTGGGATATTGTGCCTGAGAGTTAGGCCTGATAATAGGTGAACACTAACCGCCCCCCCCACATATGCACACAAAACCAGATTTGGGCCACACAATTTCTAAGAAATCTACAAGTAGAAACAACTTAGAAAAAAACACAATTCCCCTCCCGTTGCCAAGAAAATGCCTGGAAGCAAAATCTGTCAGTGATTTCACTCCAGAAGAAATGGCCATCTGCTATTCTTCCCCACAACATGAACACACACATACACCCACCCATCTCTCTCTCTCTCCCTCTTTCTCTCTATCTCACACACACACACACACACACACACACATACAGGTATACTAACACACATACACGCACACATTCACATATTTATGAATACTTACACATACACACATAGACACACACTCACACATATACAGGTTTACTTATACATACACACATTCAACATTCAAACACACACATGCATGCATGCTCCCAGGGAAGACTTCTCATGAGGGGCATAATTACTTGGTAATGGAAAGTGGCAGTTCCATAAGTCAAATCTGAAGGGTGGAGATCTTCCCATGCTTCTCATCTGACACCTCCTAAAGAAGCAGAGAAACCTACAACAGGCGCTAATGATGGTGGTACCACAGGGCTGAAACCTGGACTCACTGGGGCTCCCACTGGGGTCCTACACAGTCCAATGAATATCGCCTCTTGTTTCACCCAAGCTCAGAATCTATTCTGTGGAAGATATAGGAGCCTAATGCCATGGAGAGCAGAATACATTTTGACTATAGATAAAGGTGTTGGGGGGTTGTGGCATAGGTGAGAAGGCTGAATGAGCTGATTAGAACTCCCCTGAATTAAGCTGACACCTGAGAAACGTAGGCCTCCTCTGCTAGGCTTTCCACATAACAGGAAAACAGCTGGGAATGTATTTTCTGCAGACAAGCAGGCAAGAATCTGCAGGGGGTTCCTTCTTCCAGACTCAGCAATCAGATCAGTCATTCTGGTTCCCATTGAGAGGAAAGAGAAAGGGATGGGGCAAGAAGCCAGAAGGACTTCTCCATGGATTGCTTTTTTTTTTCTTTTGAGATGGAGACTTGCTCTGTTGCCCAGGCTGGAGTGCAGTGACACAATATCGGCTCGCTGCAACCTCTGCCTACCAGGTTCAAGCAATCCTGGTGCTCAGCCCCACTAGCAGCTGGAATTACAGGCACGCACCACCATGCCTGGCTAATTTTTGTATTTTTAGTAGAGATGGAGTTTTGCCATGTTGGCCAGGCTGGTCTTGTACTCCTGACCTCAGGTGATCCACCCGCCTCAGCCTCCCAAAGTGCTGGGATTACAGGCATTAACCAGCATGCCTGATCCAATATCTCTTTACATCAACGTATGAAAAATAGGAAGCTAGTATCCTCAGCCACAGGTCCCCAAGCACTCTTTCCTATTCTTCCGAGGACACAGTTGTCAGCAAGGGGGCCACATTCGGATGGTTCTGAGTGTGAGAGGCTTATGAGCCAAGAGAGACTCTCAAAGGCATTTGAAGAGAGTGTTGTGGGTGGCTGCGTCTTCCCCATGGGAAGATTCCTCCCTTCTTGAGCCTCTGGATTGTACTAGGATGGATTGAGATCGACAAACCTGAACATGTTTTGGTTTGAGGTTTGGCAAACTCTGTAACTCCAAAGTCTTCCACAAATGTTTTGTGTTCTGCAAAACCAAAAAACATTGGCCAAGCACTTTCCCCCCTAATTTTTAAGCCCATGTGTTTTTAAAGGAAATGTAATCCGTATGTTTCGGGTACATTTATATGCAACTCATCAAACCGTGCTCCTCTGCATGAATCACTTGATGTCTAAAATGCATGGGGAAGATCTTAGATTTATAAAAACATTTTCTAGCACTGAAGGGCAATAGATGAGGGGCTGGATGGAAGGTGGTAAACTGGGTCCAGATGCTGGCACATCAGTTCTCAAGATTTGCAAATAATTCTCTATATCCTCATCCATCAATTTTTCCCACCTGCAAAGTGGCATTAATAATTGTTGCCCTCATCAGATCTTGTGGGTAGCTAGTGATAATTAAAGTGTGATTATCAGGTAATTTTGAGATATTTAAAGAGAAAAATACAAGGACCTCCATACTTGCCCTAACAATTTATTTTAATCCAGGTTTCCAGAGTGCTGGAGGGCAAAGATGGCTTCTATCTTTGGTAATTCATCCTTGCCCCATCATGAGACACATGACTTCAATGTCTTGTATCATGGTTTCACCTGCTAGGGAAGGTCAGGCTGGCTTCCTGTTCTCTACTAGGAAAACCCTTATTTACACCGGGATAGAAAGTTGATGAAGTCACGGGGAGCAGACTACAAGGACAAGCTGAGAGTATACAGTTTGCGTTACTTGGAAAAGCAAAGGTTCTAGGTGGCTTGAATAGTGTTTTTACACAGATTAAGGCCTTTTAGAGGTAGAGTTCTGTTCTCAATATCTGTTCAACATAACATAAATCAGGTGTAAACTGTTAGCATGATAAAGTCCAAAGCATTCAGGCTTTGAAGTCAGGCAGAGTCAGTTTTAATACCTGCTCCAGCTTTACTATGGGACGGTAACAAAACTGCCTAACCTCTCCGAGACTCAATTGCTTCATCTGTAAAATGTGAGTCTTTTTGAAGATTAGAGAAAACATAATTAATAATTCAGTAAGCCCCTAGTGCAGAATCTTGGAATAAAAGGCAACAGGAAATGGCTCACAAGCACATTCTGCCGACCTGGACATGTAAAATAAGCTAGCGGGAAGGAAGAGGATGGGCCTTCTGAAATGAAGGTAATTCATTCCTCACCGGCTAAATTTTGAAAATGAAGGCCTTTGTCTCGTTATAAACAAATAATGATCAAACAGGAAAGCATTTTCCATGTAGTCCATACAACTACTATACTCTACCACTAACGAGGAGTTGCTTGACCAAAATATATTGCTCAGCCTTATCATCTACAAGCTGGAAGTTTAAGTGATTTTTACTTTACTCAGTACATATAATTTTTAAAAATTCTAAGGTGAATATAATTTTATTAAAATCTAAATATATTTTACATATACAATAAGTTTAGTAGAGAAGTTATTCATAAATTATTTTGTAAAGAAATTGATTACCATGACTGATCTTAGCATAAATCTGGATTATAATATAATGCACTGCATATTTCACAAAATGGTTTAAAATGAAAGTTTTGGGTTTATTTGAAAACTCTTACAGAGAGAATACTAAAGATAACTCCTAATAATCTGTCATTTGAATGTAAATAAATGCTCTCAAATTATGAAAAAAAAAATCTGGCAAAGTAAACAGTCATTGCAAAGCCTATATACTTTGAGACAGATGTATCACATTTATGGATTCAATATTGTCTGTATAAGATGAAATTTTCTGATCAAATTATCTTAGATACAGCTGGTTTCCTTACCCATTTTCATTCTCTTTTAACTTTCCATAGGTAACAGCTTTTAATTTTATATAGGAGGAGTGAGACAGAATTTAGAGAAAAGAAATAACTATCAACCAGAGAAACAACACAGTCTCTAAGGACATTTATAGCAGGAACAAATAGTCCTATCAACTTCAGCAGTTCTTTAAAGATTCACTACATAATAACCTAGTCATAATGACTGAGGCTAAGTCACCAAGGAAGGGGTGTTCTATATACCCTCTTTTCTAAAGCAGGAAGCATTTAATATATTTTGGAACTATTTCCTAGAGGAAAAAATGTTAAATTTTTTCACACAGTTTTAGCTCTTAAGGTAGTAATTTTCTGGAAAATGTTATTTGTCTACGACTCTTTGTTTCCTGGTAATGCAAAATATTTGAGATATCACTGCAGGTGCTGAAGCTACCTACTGATACTTATCAGAAAAAAGAATGGCTAGTAATAGTAAATTACTAGCGATAGTGATAGTAAATTACCATAAAATTTCTTTTAAGTGACTCAGTAACTAAATATGACGTAAGGAAGAAAACAGAATGAGGGATTTGATCTGGTGATTTAGACTATGCAGCAAAGAATTTGATTATTGCATTAGCTATCCATTTCTCTTTGCCAAAGTCTACACAGTGGCAGAGCATACAGGTGTTTTCTAAAAATCAGGAGCCATGAGCCATTAACAGGATGTAAGGGAAGTGACGTCACATAGAAAAGAGGTTTCTCTTCCGCAGTGATTCTTACCTGTTTCTCCCAGAATCTCTGAATCCTTTAGCAAAAGGGTTTCGGTCAATTTTTAATCTGGTAATCTGGAAACAAACAAATAAGTATGAATTGCTTTTATATTAACTGATTTCTTTTTAGTAGTCCTAGAAAATTACAAAAATCACTGTTTAAATAACAGCTGTTGCTCTTATTTAATTTCCTTTCAGCTTGAGATTTAATTTGAAGCTGCATACAGAACTTGGCCTGGCACACAGATGTCTGACCCACCTGACTCACTTCTCCATAAAAACTAAAGTTTGCCCAGTATGTGACTCTATAAACTCTCTTCTACTCACCTTCCTTGCCCCAGAGTGGTGATAAATCACTTGCCTAGACAGACATTGAAATGGAAAACTGGTCAATGGTCACGTCCATAGTACACGACACACGAGAGGCACTTAAAAAATGCTTGTTGAATGAATGAGTAAGCAAACGATGTGCGAGTGATTGAATAATTAATAATGGACTCAGTCAATTCAGTCAGGTGCAATCAGACCACCAGACAATCCGCCTCAGTCTGAAAGATCCAAAAAATTGACTGCATTTTCCATTTCACTGAAGCCATGCCTTTCCTACTACTAGAAATTGTTCATTTAATGACCTGAAATGTTCATGTAAAAGACAGAAAAAGTAGCGAGACTTTTGCCAGGGTCTTACCCAAAGGAAAATCAACAAATGTGAGACTGAATGGGGCAGAATGCAGTACATGTCATCCAGTATCCAAGACTCACAAGCAAATCAGTAATAAAGAGTCAGTTTCATAAGGCTGACCAGCCCAGCACATTCAACTGTGTCACCAGCTTGGACAGGTCCTCAGGGGCCATTTGGTTCAACCTCCACTCAAAGCATAACTCTCCCTCCATTGCATCCTATCTTAGTTCCAGCAAACTCCACCATGGGGTTGTATCTATTACCCTCATGCCTGTAAACTAGAACAAGCCTGAGCAACATATTCCATATACACACTAGTGTTTCCACTTTCATCCTTGGTACCTTTGTGTCTGAACCAATTGTTAATGACTCACTACATTCAAGTGAAAGACTTAGGGTTGGGTGCTAAGGAGCTCAGGAAAGAAGGAAGGCACTCCCAAAGCAATGTCATTCTAGAAATAAGGGAACCTAATTATTTAAGACTACCTTCATATTTTTGATAACTGCAGAACTATCACTAAGCTAAAATTGTTTCCTACGTTGCAAATCTTCCCTAGTTCTCTTTTACCTCATTTCATCAGACTGGAATTTCCCAAGACTGCAGTCTTTAAAAGCAATGTGAGAATCTGTTTCCTTTGCTTTTGGTGTTTTAGTCATGAAGTTTTGCACACGGAGAAATAGCATTAGGAGAAATACCTAATGCCGATGACGAGTTGATGGGTGCGGCAAACCACTATGGCACGCATATACGTATACAACAAACCTGCATGTTCTGCACATGTATCTCAGAACTTAAAGTATAATAATAATAATAAAGCAATCTGAGGTTCTGACAAACAGACTCTGACTTGAAAGAGTCGTCAAGGCTTCAAGGCTATTTTCCTCCCCAAATATTCCTTGCCTTTGAAATTGCACACTAATTATGCAGCACTAATAATGTAGCAAAAGCAATTTTACATGTATTTTATAGAGCAGAGCAGGAGCCGAAAGATTTGGCTTTCTAAAGTCCAGTGTCTGCCATGTGAATATGGTATTGAATTTAAAGAGTGTCACTGCTTTTCTGTGTTTGACTTAAAATCAGTTATTTCTTCCTCCATAATCCACAGCAATAAACCATGCGCCATATTTTCTTTTCAAGTTGGGGTTATAATATTTTATTTTCTCTTTCAAGTTGGTTTATCCTGTCCAACTCATTTATGATGGGGATTTCTGACACATGACTGTGATGCCATGTTTTGGGGTCTCCACAGACTCCTGTAAATATAACAGCACTCTACTTCATGGGCCTGGGAGAAATGGTTGAAAATATATTTCCCACATCTCATTTGATCCCAGGCCAATGGGTATGCATGGAAATTTAATAGCAAATGCCTCAACTCAGGAAAAAAACAGTATCTGTACACTTGTTTTAAAGCTTTAATTGTGAGAATTAGCTTTATGAAGAGCTTGGCTGTGCCACTCATCTGCCTTCTGTATGCAAAGCAGTGTGACAAGCAGCAGAGGTGACAGAGTGGTATACAGTCAGTGTGTCACTGTATGTCATCCATTTATCCTCAGAAAGCTTATAATCTAGAAGAAAGAAGCAGACGTGCACTAACAATTACAATATAAAACAGAAGGTGATAAGGTTCACAATAAAGGCAAAGTATGATGAGAGCTTAGACCAAGTAGGAATTACTCTAAGTCGAAGGGCTCTGGGGTCTCACGTTAGAGACAGTATGTGAACCAGGCCTTGAAGGATGTATAGTATTTTAATGAAAAACACAAGACAAAGGGGACAAAGGAAGCATTTCTTAAGAAAGGCACTATGCAACAAAGGACATGAACAGACACTTCTCAAAAGGAGACATTTATGGGGCCAACAAACATGAAAAAAAGCTCAACATCACAGATCATTAGAGAAATGCAAATCAAAGCTACAATGAGATACCATCTCACGCCAGTCAGAAATGGTGATTATTAAAAGTCAAGAGGCCAGGTGTGGTGGCTCCTGCCTGTAACCCTTGTACTTTTGGAGGCCAAGGTGGGCAGACTGTCCGAGCTGAGGAGTTCGAGATCAGCTGGGCAACATGGTGAAACTCCATCTATACTAAAAAATACAAAAATTTAGCCAGGCGTGGTGATGCACACCTGTAGCCCCAGCTACTCAGGAGGCTGAAGCAGGAGAATCACTTGAACTGGGAGGTGGAAGCTACAGTGAGCTGAGATCGCACCACTGCACTCCACCCTGGGTGACAGACTGAGACTCTGTCTCCAAAAAAATTAATTAAAGAAATAAGAAATGAAAATGAGTAACTAAAGAGTCAAGAAACAACAGATGATGGCAAAGCTGTGGAGAAATAGAAACACTTTTACGCTGTTGGAGGAATGCAAATTAGCTCAACCATTGTGAAAGACAGTGTGGTGATTCCTCAAAGACCTAGAACCAGAAACAGCATTCAATCTAGCAATCTCACTACGAGGTATATACCCAAATAAATATAAATCATTCTATTATAAAGATATGTGCATGTGTATGGTCATTGTAGCACTATTCACAATAGCAAAGATATGGAATCAACCAAAATGCCGATCAATAATACACTGGATAAAGAAAATGTGGTACATATACATCATGGAATACTACACAGCCATAAAAATAGAATGAGATTATGTCCTTTGCAGGGACATGGATGGAGCTGGAAGCCAATATCCTATGCAAACAAATGCAGGAATAGAAAACCAAACAGCACATGTTCTCACATATAAGTGAGACCTGAATGATGAGAACACATGGTTACAGGGAAGGGCACAATAGACACTGAGGGGGAGAGGAAGAGCATCCGGATAAACAGCTAATGCATGTGGGACTTAATATCTAGGTGATGGCTTGATAGGTGCAGGAAACCACCATGGCACACGTTTACCTTTGAAACAAACCCACACATCCTGCACATGTATCCTGGAACTTAAAATTTAATTTAATTTAATTTTTTTTAAAGGAAAGGTCCATGCAAGCATGAATATCAAAGTGGGAAAGAATAACATGTATTCCAGAAACATGGAGAAGTCTGGTTTATCCGGAGCTATGGGAAGAAGAGCAATGAGAGAAGGCTGGAGAGGCCAGCTTGAGGCCATGTCATAGAAAGCCTTTGGCATTTAGATTACTCAGAAGGCAGCAACGAGCAATTTTAGCTACATACACCAAAGTATGATCCCAGATACTGCTTGTGCTGGCAACTTCGTCTATGTTTGCTGATACCAAGGGTAACAGGGACAGTGCTTTGGAGGATGAAATGAATGCATTTTTGAGCTCCATCATCTTTAGTTTAATTCCATGGGTCCCATATCAAGAGGCAGCCTGAGACACTCTGAGCTGATGAGTGTCTTCTACAGTACAAAGAAGGATGCAAAATAACTGAGCCATAAGGCTTGCTGTCCTGTGGATATGACATAAGGTGAATTCCCATCTTATGATATAAGATAGAAAAAGAAGTTTTAAAAAATCCTCTCCTCGGTTGCAGTGAGCCAAGATTGCACCACTGCACTCCAGCCTGGCGACAGAGCAAGACTCCATCTCAAAAGAAAAAAAAAAAAAATCCCTCCTTCTCATAGAAAGGAGAAGACAGACAAAGCAAAAGCAAGCAGTTACATTTAATGAACCTTATCTACCCCATTCAAACAAAAATCCGAGGATGGGGTGGGGAGAATCGGAGCAGATTGGCAGGGTTATCGCCATGCATAGACGGGGGTGACTGCATCGAAGTAAGAATGCTACCTGGTCTGATTAAACAGAAAGAGGCCTGAGTTTGTACCTCCAGGCTCCCATGGGCCTTCTTTGGTGGGTAAGGGACTCAGAAGCCTTCTCATGCCATGAGAGGAAAAGCAGGGTAACTATAACACAGATGTACTGCAAGGTTTAGTCAGACCCAAACAGAGGACCTGGGTGAGACCTGAGATGAGACTGAACCAGCAAGGAAGCCCCACGAGGCTGTGACCTAGGCAAGAAAACAAAGCACAACTCAAGCAGTTTCTTATCTGGAGAACAGATCAGCACTAGGGACCCAAGCTCAGACCAGACCAGGTGCCTCACAGCACAGGCCAGTGAGCCCAGCAAACAGCACAGGAGTGCACTCGCTGCCATGATGGAGGCACATAAATTCCATCTCCACTGCTTTACGTGAACCATACATCCAGAGGTCATGGGGCAGAGCGAAGGATGGGACAAAAACCACTGCTAAACACTTCACCCAAAGTAAATCGAGTTACATGAAGGGATATTTAACCCAAAACAGAATTGGAACGTTTAAATTTTCCCCTTATCCTCCTCCAGTGTAAGGGCCAGGTCTTTTTAGGAAAATCGGCTATAGAAAATTTTTTATATATGTCATATTTGAGTAATTTTCAACCCTAT